TTTTTTTTTTTTTTTTTTTTTTTTTTTTTTTTTTTTTTTTTTTTTTTTTTTTTTTTTTTTTTTTTTTTTTTTTTTTTCTCTCTATTTTCTGTGTAGGTCTCTTTAGTCAGCCTTGTAGCTAATGCCCTGGGCTACTCGGAACTAGGTGCCATAAAGTCCCTTAGGACACTAAGAGCTTTGAGGCCTTTAAGAGCGTTGTCCCGATTTGAGGGGATGAGGGTAAGATGCCATTAGCAGCTGATCCTTCTGCATGCCTGTGGAGCGTTTTTTTTTAAGCATGCTAGAACTGATCAAAACTGGTGGAAAAGAGAATTCCAAAGAGAACCATGACGCAGCCGCTGACTCGATCACCTCTCCCGTGGATGTCCCCCCACCCTGCCCACCGCGCACCCTCCCCTCTTGAGAAAGGGAGACGCATTAAGCTGCCTCATTACATTAATTACTGGCCCCAACCACATGCCATTCGTAGAACGATGTTGACACTTGGCTGTTCTCATTGAGCCTGGCTTTGACCTCTAGCATCCGAGGGGGCTTCTCAGCTGTGACTCTTCTGATCTAGGGAGAATCACCAGGTGCAAAGAAGCAGAATTGGAACCACCGCAGTGTCTCCAGCCCCCGAGGGCTTTGGCCGCTGGTGGAATTGGGCTGAAAGAGGGGTTTTTAAAAACGCAATCTGCCTGTGAGGGGGTGAAGGGATCGCTCAGGCCTTCAGGAAGGGACTGGCGGGGAGCTCAGCTGTTTGAAAAAAAAGGCTTTGGTTTAATTCCTCTTGTTGCACCTTGTTGTTCTCGGTCCAGTCTGGTGGTGACTGGAAGCCTTGTCTGAGAGTGAAGCTTTTCCTTTCCACTCCCTCCCTTTTACCATGCTTTATGGTCCCCTGTCCTGTCACTGTGGAACCAGCAACGAAGCACAAGCAAAGCATTGAACTTAACAAGCTTTCCTCAAATTGTTAGATGCCACCCCTGGCTTGGAGACTTGAAATTACTGCAGTGTCTCATCACTTTGCCACTAATATTCCGTACTTTGGTGCTTTTTTTTTCCATTCGGGATAGAAATAGTCTTAGAAGAACATGCAAAATAATTGTATGTTTCTCTTAAGTAAAGGGTATGTTGTATTAATGGGTTTCCCAGTTGCTTTTAGAGCAGTAACATAGGTCTGTGCTAAATCCCAGTTAGGTCACAACTAGAGATATTACAAGAGATAAAATGTATTTTTTAAAAAAGGGAAGGGAATAGCAGTCTCACAGTTTTACTTCACTGGAGTCATTCCACCTGGATCCTTCTGGTCTCCTTGGAATTTGCTGTAGAGTAACTGAGCACAAAGCCCAGTGGGAGAGAGGGAATAACGGGATCAGGAATCCTCAGTTCCACGGGAAGTGATAGGAGAAAATGATACCACCACAAACGGACACGTTTCTGTGCAACCTGCTCTGGGGGGACCTGCTTTGCCAGGGGGTTGGACTAGATGATCTCCAGAGGTCCCTTCCAACCCCATAGCATTCTGGGATTCTGTAAATCCGAAGAGGGTTGTTTCTTCCCTAGTATGTTATCCTGCCATTATTTCTTTGTGTCACTTAGCCTAATTCTAAAGTTTATTCTATAATACGGGCACAAAGGATGGAAACTTTTCCATGGGCACAAAGCTGGAGCTTTTGCTGGGCTGGGTTCAGGTCCCACCTGAGGGTACAGTCACAAAGGAATAGAACCAGTAGATATGAACAGCTATTTTTAAGCAGTGCTGGAGAGAAGCTGTGATTTCTAATGCACAATCAGGAAATTCTCATGCTTAAAGTGGTAGGGAGTTCTGACTGCAGCCCTGTTAGTTACCTAAACCCAATTATTTTTCCTTTGTTTTGACTTGAAGACAAGTGTTGCTGCCCCATTCAACCAGAGCAATTCTGCTGAGCCAGAGAATAGAGATTTGAAATGCCTTTGCAAAGGAAACACAAAATGTAGTTCTTTGCTTTTCTCTACTCCATAATAATCTGCATTTTCAAGAGCTTGCTCTGCTCTTAAATTATTCAGGAAGTTTGACAGTAATGCTATGAAACGTGCATGCGTTTTTGTCAGTCTGCACACAAAAGCCATGTTCCTTCTCTCACATCTTTTTGAATGCCGTATAAATTCAACGTAGCGTTAGTGACCGTAGTTCAGGAGGATGTGACACTTTTTTTTCGCTGCCCAGGATGAACTGTAATGAAGCAGAATATTGATAACTGAAAGATCTGAAACCAAAAAGGCGTGCTGTTGTTGGAGCATCCTACCTGGGGGATGGAGCCCGTCTGGAGGGCCTGCCTCTAATCTGCCTTTATAGCCCACTGGCTACCCAGTGATGAATCTATGACATCATTTAAGAGTGGGAATGCTACTCACCATCCAGATCACCATTTTCTTTCATTTTCCTTCCTGCTTGCTGCGATGGGAGGGCAGGAGCTCGCTGCAGAGCGTGTCGTGCGGGTGGTGGCTGCATCCAGCAGATGGATGTTGCAGGAGGAGAGGGGACACTTGGTGGTGGCCAGGACCTGTTGAGGAGCCCCTAATCACCGTGTATTGAGAAGTCTTTTAAAAACTAAGGCAAAGGGGCAAAACCAGTTTAGATTCTGTTCATCTATTAAAGGAATCTAAATCAGGAGATCATAATAAAAGATTTAATATCCTGCTGACCTAACTCTATTAAAAGCCTGAGAGCTTACAGCTTGTCATGTGTTGGCCAGGGATGCTTAGGGACACGGTGCTCCCGCGCTCCAAAAGGCTAAAATTAGGAGATGGTGGAAGGTACGAGCTCTGACAAAACCCCTTGTCGCTTCCCGCGGTGTTTGCTGCAGTCTGGAGGAAGGAACATGGCTTTTCTGTCTCCTTGAGCCTGCCAGGCTGCATGCTCAGCTGTCTGCCTGAGACAACATGATTGGCCTTGCTTGGTCACCAATATGATCTTGATGTTTCCAGCGACTCACTGCTTAGTCGTCAGAGCGCGACGCGGGGCTCGGTACCGTCCCCCCCGGCGTCGGTGCCCCCGGTTTGCTGCGAGCTGGGGGGGAGCAGGAGGCGGCTTCCAAGTGACAAGAGCCTTGTTTGCAAGTGGGGAACGGCCAAAAAGGGCCCCTGGCTGCTGAGACCCCTCAAATCCACGAGCAAAAGTGTCCTCGGACCTGGCTCTGAGAAAATTGTAGCTGGGAGCCTGCTTGGTACTGAGAAGAGAGTCTGAGCCTCACTCAGTGATGCCCCCCTCTCCCTTTCGGCAAATAGAATAATTTAAAATCATTATTGTTTAACTAAAGAAGTACCAATCCAAAATCGAGCCCAGCAAATCTTAACAACCTGGCCTGCTTTGTTTGAAAAACAGAGCTGCAGTAGGTAGCTTTTGGGCAGGATGATTTCACCGCTTGGAATAAGTTCACTGCCAACTTCTGCATGTGGGTGGCCTTACCTCCTGTCCCCCCCCCAGACCCAGCCGTGTTGATGCTTGCAGTTTCCTGCCTTGTGTTTTATACTGAAACTTTTTCCCACCCCTTCCAACACAGGTGGTTGTCAACGCCTTGGTTGGCGCTATCCCTTCCATTATGAATGTGTTGTTGGTCTGCCTTATCTTCTGGCTGATTTTCAGCATTATGGGGGTTAACCTGTTTGCCGGGAAATATCATTACTGCTTTAATGAAACAGCTGAGGAGCGCTTCGAAATAGATATTGTTAACAACAAGACAGACTGCGAAGCGCTGATGCCGCCCAACTCCACTGAGATTCGATGGAAGAATGTGAAAATTAACTTTGACAACGTCGGGGCAGGATATCTGGCTCTTCTGCAAGTTGTAAGTTTTGCTCTCCCCATCTCCCCAGTAGTGGTACACACACTCCCCAGTAGTGGTACACACAAGCTGCTTCTAATGGGCTTGGACTGCTCCCCCCTCTCCCTGAAATACACCGTCCCGTTCACCCCACTCAGCTTTAGGGCTGGAATAAAGTTGCAGTTTTCTCTGTTATCCCTTTGCCTACCATGGGTCTCCCAGCAGAGCAGGTGGCCCCAACTCTGCTCTTCAGAGTCTACCAAACCTTCCATGAGACAACAGTAAACCCGGTTAGATTAATTTAGATTCATTTCATTTGGGTTAAATGAAAAGAGAAATACTTAAGTAATATTAAAGTTCAATATACAGGGTGATCAGGAGTGCCAGGGAATCCTTGACGTAGCTGGCACAGAGCTGACTTGGTCTTTTACTGTGGCTGAATTCTGCCTGAGAGGTGTTTGTCTTTGCTAGGCTACCTTCAAGGGCTGGATGGACATCATGTACGCAGCAGTGGACTCCAGAAAGGTAAAGTGCACGACCACACGCAATCCCATCCCCCATCCTTCACTCCGCTGTTTCACTTCGGTAAAATCAAGAGTGAAAACTGTAGAACTCAACTTATGTTACGTATTTAATGCTGTGATTGAATCCCAGGGTTCTCCTGGTTGCTTTAGGGGCAGGGAAACTCCTACTGGAGTAGAAATACAGTAAAGAAAGGACTACAGTGGAGCTATGTATTTCATCAGCAGAATGTATTATGGGGAGGAATTAGCTGGAAGGTCCTCCATGAACCTGCATCTGCATGGGAGCCCAGGTGTCAGTTAATCCAGTTTTGGAATGATGTCTGGGTTGGAGCTCTTCCTTCAGGCACTTTTCTTGTTCTTGCATGCTGGAATCATGCAAATACCATTACTTCCCTTTCTAGGTTTTTTTCTTTCTCTTAGTTTTATATGAAAAGATAATTAAATGGATTTTCTTGTCCTACACTGACTGCAGGGTTGGAAACGAGTAGTGTGACTATATGAGGACAGGGTGAAAAATGTTCTCTTTTTGATCAGCTGATGGTCTTGCACGTCCCTCTTCAAAATCACTTTGGCAGTGCCTGCCACTAAAGTGATCATTTCCTTTGTGATTTGCAAATTACCTGTATATTTTATGGGCACTGACCTCATTTACAGTGGAAGTCAGTTCAAACTGTAGCCTATTCTGTTTCTGAGAATTAGATCACCCTCCTCCCCATATATGCATACAATATACATTCTTCTGCTTTACTTTAAACAGTGTGAGAACACAGTTCTCCATATATAACTACAGCTTTATAAAGCTGAATACTTGGAAACATCATCAATCTCATTTTGACTATATTTGTCAATCTCATCAATCAATCTCATTTGACTATATTTGTACAATGTACCTGTGAAATGTCCCTTATTTCTCTTCTCATCTCCCATTCAGCAAGAAGAGCAACCCAAGTACGAGGACAACATTTACATGTACATATATTTTGTTATCTTCATTATCTTCGGCTCCTTTTTCACCCTGAACTTGTTTATTGGTGTCATCATCGACAACTTCAATCAACAAAAGAAAAAGATAAGTGATCTGTGTTTGCTGATTAGTAGGGGAGCTGAGACCTGATAGAGGAACCCGAGAACCTGTTAGAGGAATGTTGAGTCTTCAAGGTTAATGTTTTTTTTCTGCAAAATTAAGGCTAAGAACATTCAGCCTGGGGCAGGAGCCTCCTCCCTTGGAGCTGTGGGCTGAGGAACCACTGTGACTCTGTTCCCAGCCCCATGGAGCCGAGCACAACAGGCTCAGGAAGCCAAAGAGGCAGCCCAGAGCTTTGTGTAAAGCTCTAACCAAATGAGACGTTTTCCCTAGACTGCATTTTTATGCATTTCTGGGTTTTTTTTTGCCTTGACTAAAATATACAGACTGAAAGTAAGATGTCTTCCTTGCCCCTCGGTCCCTCTCTGATACACAGCTTTTCTTCTCTGTAGATCAAGCCGGGGCTTTGCAGGTGTTCTCCTAAATAGCCTGACACCTCTGCTGCCTGTTTGGCACTAATGAGCTAGAGGGGATGGGAAAGGAGGCGGTGCAGCAAAAGAGGTTATTCATAGGAAAAATACCGTTTTCTTTGAAGGAAAATCAGTGTGGCTTGGGTATTAGTAGAAGTTATTTCTGTCTAAAATAGCTGCCACCAACTTCCCATATGGCAGGTATCCTCATGACTTAGCTAGGATGTCATTCCGTTTCCTTCGGGTGTAGGAGCTGATTGTAACCAGTTTTCCTTTTGCCCCTTTACTTTGGAGGTCAAGATATTTTCATGACAGAAGAACAAAAGAAGTACTATAATGCCATGAAAAAACTGGGCTCAAAGAAGCCTCAGAAACCTATTCCCCGACCTCTGGTGAGTACGTTATAAAGGGAACCGAAGGAAAAACCCTGCAGAGTAGACTTTCAAAGGAGCTTTGGCTCCAAAAGCATCCTTTGTTCTAACTCATGCCGGACTCCACATCCCCATGCTCTTGTCGTTATAATTCAGGTATGATCTGAGAAAGGTTAAAATGCTCCAGCTGTGGTTGATGTTAATCAGTTGGTTCACTTGAATCGACAAAACAAGCTGAAAGCCCTGGTCTGGCTGAGAGGCTGTAGATGGGGAGTAGGAGGCTGCCTGGGATTAGCGAGCGCGGTCCTGGACAGTCAGGCAGATGTCTGGGGTACCTCCATCGAGACCTGAGCACGTTCCCCAGCTTTCTGAAAGGCTTTGTGTGTGACATTGGGTGAGTCCCTTAGATGCTGGGGTGGGTAAGGCATCCTGCTGCTCTGCCTGCTGCTGGGACTCAACTGCTGCCAGGACTCAAGAGAGAGGGTTGAAATCCAGTCACTGCTGCAGGTAGACCTGGCTGCCTTCTCCAGTTGTGAATGGAAAGTTATCACCCTGCCTTTGGTCTCAACAAAGAGGAAGATATGCTGATAACAGGGTTGTGGTAGCATTTTAGGGTATAAATAATATCATTTTCCTACCTTTCCCATAAATAGATTGAATCATGGCTAGAGTTTGCCTTGAAAACTTCATAAGATACTGAAAAAATTATTTCCTCATCCCTGTTTCCACCAACAGTGAAATAATTTGACTAATGGTGGATTCTTGTTCAAACCTGTTTGGTTGTCTTTCTCCTGTTGCACAGAACCGCATCCAAGGGGCTGTCTTTGACTTTGTCACTCAGCAAGCATTTGATATAGTCATCATGATGCTCATTTGCCTCAACATGGTGACCATGATGGTGGAGACGGACACACAAAGCAAGCAGATGGAGGACATCCTTTACTGGATCAACCTGGTGTTTGTCATCTTCTTCACCTGTGAGTGTGTGCTGAAGATGTTCGCCTTGCGGCACTATTATTTCACCATCGGGTGGAACATTTTTGACTTCGTGGTTGTGATTCTGTCCATTGTGGGTAAGTGCAACACCAATTAGCTAGAGGTCTGTGAGCACTAGGCTGTCTTGGTGTTTGCAGAGTAGAGCACGTTCTTGTCTTTGAAGGGGATATAGAGGTACCAGGACTTTGAGGGTCTCTTTTTAGCCTTGTGAAGAGACTGGCAGAATTTGGCAGCCTCAAGTCCTGACTAATGTGCCCTCCTCCCTCTGTTCTGGCACTCATTTCCAGTTGTATGGAGTAAAACACTTGACAATTACTCTCCCTGTCTTTAAAAACAGAAATTTTACTCACCTCATTCGAATGGTATAATGCTCACTAACTCCTGAAAATAGCATTGCAGTGCTTCCTACATCAGCATGTGATTTGCACTCTTCAGTTTGGTTGAATGTTGAATCAACTGGTTTCCTCCAACAGGTTTTTGCTTTTTAGCGGCTAATCTGTAAAACACGCGTAACCTCACAACTACAGCAGGGTAACTCAAAAAGCTTGGCTGCACCCAGCTCTGCCCAGGAATACTGACAAAGCACCGACACTAGAGAGTGTCCTGCAGTCTGAAACTCAGATCCAGGCTTATTTCTGCTCGAAATAAGATTTTACCTTACATATTTTTTTAGCATCTTCAAAATAGAGTCCATGGCCTGACTCCCATGGCGGAGTTAGACACCTCCAAGAAACAACTCGTCCATCCTGATCCAGGTGGAGCAAAGTCCTCTGCAGCTCTGCCTCCCTCCCTCTCCATTTTGGAGAGCTTCCCTGGGAGCCAGAGCAGCTGAGACTCGGCTGCCTGAAGGTGAGGCCTCTTAATTGCAGACCTCCTTGGAAAACCCGACCGAGGTGTTGTGTGCGCCCAGTCCCCTGGCTAGGTTGAGAGGAAGCAGCAGACTGCCCGTCTCCATTGTCACACTTGTCCCTTCTCTTCTCCTCTAGGAATGTTCCTGGCTGAAATCATTGAGAAGTATTTTGTGTCGCCCACTCTCTTCCGAGTCATCCGACTGGCTCGCATTGGACGTATCCTGCGTTTGATCAAAGGAGCCAAAGGGATCCGCACCTTGCTTTTTGCCTTAATGATGTCCTTGCCTGCCTTGTTCAACATTGGCCTCTTGCTGTTCTTGGTCATGTTCATCTTCTCCATCTTTGGCATGTCAAACTTTGCCTATGTCAAGCATGAGGCAGGCATAGATGATATGTTCAACTTTGAGACCTTTGGCAACAGCATGATCTGCTTGTTCCAGATCACTACATCAGCTGGTTGGGATGGGCTCCTGCTGCCCATCCTAAACCGGCCTCCAGACTGCGACCTCGACAAGGAGCACCCTGGGAGTGGTTTTAAGGGGGATTGTGGGAACCCTTCAGTGGGGATATTTTTCTTTGTGAGTTACATCATCATCTCCTTCCTGATCGTGGTCAACATGTACATTGCCATCATCTTGGAGAACTTTAGCGTGGCGACAGAGGAGAGCGCCGATCCATTAAGTGAGGATGACTTTGAGACCTTCTACGAGATCTGGGAGAAGTTTGACCCCGACGCCACCCAATTCATAGAGTACAGCAAGCTGGCAGACTTTGCTGATGCTTTGGAACATCCTCTCCGCGTCCCCAAACCCAACACCATCGAACTCATCGCCATGGACCTGCCTATGGTAAGTGGAGACAGGATCCACTGTTTAGACATCCTGTTTGCCTTCACCAAACGCGTCCTGGGGGACAGTGGGGAGCTGGATATCCTGAGACAGCAGATGGAGGAACGATTCGTGGCATCCAACCCTTCCAAAGTGTCTTATGAGCCCATCACAACGACGCTGCGGCGGAAGCAGGAAGAGGTTTCGGCGGTGGTTATCCAGAGGGCCTACAGGGTTCGTTTAGCGCGACGGGGCTTTATTAGCCGAAGGCCCGCCCCCACGAAACTGGAAAATGGAGGAACAAACAGGGAGAAAAAGGAAGGCACCCCGTCCACGGCCTCCCTCCCCTCCTACGACAGCGTCACCAAGCCCGAGAAGGAGAAGCAGCAACGGGCAGAGGAAGGAAGACGAGAAAGAGCGAAAAGGCAAAAAGACGTCAGGGAATCCAAGTGTTGAGACAAAAATAATAGAATTGTACAAATTAAAATACATGCAAGTGAAAAGATTGTTTACAAACTTCATGAAATATATCAATACAGAACAGCTGTGGAGACACTTACCTGAAGATCTTATACCAAACATAGTCTGCTTACTGTGTGACAGCGTTGCATCTAAAGCAGTGACCTACCACCTGTTTAAAGGACCCTTGTAAACAAACATTTAAACACAAAAAAAAGGAAAAAAAATGGATTTTCTATTGTTTGGGCAGGTGGATACTGCATGTTCCACATCAGTCAATGCAACTTAGGACAAACAAGCAAAATAAAACACACACACACACACACACAGAAACAAAACCCGCTGCTGGGATTCATATATTTTCCAAAGCAGCCAAAAAAGGATTTTATTTTCCCGTTTTGTTGATTATTATTGAAAGAAAACCCAGAAGTCACAATCTTAAAGGGTTTGTTCATGCAAAACTAGATTTGCATTTAGTTAAGCAGCAAAAAAAAAAAAAAGAAAAAAGAAAAAACAGAAAAAAGTTTAAAATAAGTTAAAAAAAAAAACGGAAAAAAGAAACAAACCACCCATTTAGCCCATGCCATTTAATTGTCATAGTTTATTTGATATTTATTATCTCTGCATTCTACTTTCTACATGGGCTTTACTTGGTTTGGGAGATGGGGTAATCGGGTACCTTCAGCCCGGAGACAGCTCGGGCTGATCCCCCCCCCCAAAAAAAGTGCTCGTTCAACGCGTAGAAGCGACTTGCATGATGGCATGCCGTGACAGGGACCATGCATGAGGAACCATTAGACCACAGACACTCCCTAGTCTGTCCACAGCAGTGTGTTAAGCCATAAATCCCAGGCACTCCACTGACTGCCATATACACTGGATTTGGGAGATAAACTCTAACACTGACCGTCCCCTCCGCCCGGCCTTCCCCACCCCTCACAGACCCGCCAGTAGGAGGAAAAAAAAAAACAAACAACAAACCAACAAAAAGAAACGAGCGGAGGAAATAATTGTGTGTGTATGTTTAACGACTTGTCTGGTTTTTTTTCCATACAGCCATCTTTTTGCACACTGAAATATAACGAAACTAAAATGCTGCTCTGGACCTCGTCAGAGGGGAGGTGATTAAAAACTGGGAATGGCTTGTTATACTCTGTCACTGTAAAACCAAAATCTAGGGCTTAAGTACCAGTCAATAAGTTCATTTGTATTCCTGCAATATTTATCATTAATACCAATTATTATTCAGCCTCCATCCTGCAGCGTAGACACTTCTTTTTATTTTATTTTTTTTTTTTTTTGGTGTAGAGATAAGTGCAATGAAAAATCAGCGTGTTATCTCTACGGGAGACGTGGGCAGCAGCCCCCAAGGTGTCCTGCTGGGGCTGGGGCCATGCCCCGTGGTTTTGGGCACCCCCTTTGCCCTGGGGGTGGCTTCAGGACCCCCAGCTCCCCTGGGGTGGCCGCTGCAGGGGGACCCGTGGCCAGGAGGGCTCTGAGGGGGGAGCAGCCCCATCCTGGGCTCCAGAGCCTTCTCCTTCACCCCGACTCTGGCAGCTCCACGGGGCAGGGGGGAGCTGGAGCTGCCTCTTCCCAGTAGGAAGGAAATGGAGAGCCAAGTCCAAACGTCTCTTTTTCTCAAAGCCCAGACTCAGCCCCTCTTCCCTGGTGTCCTCCTCTTCAAGCCAGCGCTCGGCCACCGCTCTTGGCTGGGGTTTTTGGCTTTTTTTTTGTTTTTTCAGGGCCAGCGTGGGTCTCCTGGCCAGGGTGGGGGTCTCACCCGCTGGCGGTGGGAAGGAGAACGAGGGGTCGGTGCCCAGGTCCCTTGGGTGTGGACCAAATCAAGGGTACCCAGAATTGGGGGGAAAAAAAAAACCCAAGAGGACAGACCCGGATAGCAGGAGGAGGCTTGGTTGGCATCATCTCACAACCCAGAAAATGACAGGAGTCACTTAAAAACCCCAAACCCAGCAGGAAGCCCCCCTCCCCGCGGCTCCCGGGGCCGGGTCCTGCCCCCAGGAGCTCAGCCAGGAACCCGGTCTGTCCCGTCAGCTCTTGCCCCAGTTGCTCCTAGGATGTGATGTATAATAACAAAGAAAAAAAAAAAAACAAAACTACATACATATGTACAGGCTACGTTGTAAACAGCACAAAAGAGAAAAAAAAAAAATAGCTGAAAAGTGTGGTTGAACTTTTTAAGAGAATATTATAAATACTGTAATATATCATTTTATTTTATCGGCATGCCTTTTTGTAAATACAAAGAACTACAAAAATAATAGAATGGCTTCTGGCTTATGCCATTGTCCATGTTTATTTTTATTTTTTTAATATTTTTCTGTTTTCCTTAGACTTTAGATAGCCAGTAAACATCCCCCAAAGAAAAAAAAAAAAAAGACAAACAAACCTCTACCCACCTAGATTTTAAAAAAAAATGCTTTATTGCAATTGATCTTTGAAACAGCAAAAGTATATATTTTTTGGGTTCCAATGTGCAATAAGTTGACCACTTCTATGCAAGATTTGGCTAAACTTCATAATTGTTCTTAAGCTGGGCTATTGGCTCGTAGGTGAAGCTTGGTACGTTTAGCGTTCGTGCTGGCCATTTCATTAAGCTACTCAATTACTTTAAAATAAAAAGTCCCTTCAAACTATGTCTATGTATTTATTTTTTTTACCATCAGATCTGTATTAAATGCAAGAGGCCAGTGGTGCTGAGACCAAAGGGGAGCGGAGCGGTTCTTCAGCTGTTGGGTTTGGCCGCCGACTGTCCTTCTGCTCAGAGGAGAGTTTCCTGGGGGGGGGTTGGGTGGGTTTTCTCTCCAAGTTCCCTTCCTTGGGCAGATGTTTCCACCAGCTGTGGCTCTGGGTTCTGATGGCGCCGGGTTCCTGCACATCGACCCCAGGGGAGGCCAAGGACGAGGAGGAACCGTTGGTCGCAGAGCGTTGGGGACGTTGGTGTCCTTCACCAGCCCCTGAATTCAGATGCCTACACAGGATTTACGGTCAGGGTGGTGGGAATCAAGCAAGGGTGGGGGATGGCGTCGATTAAAAAGTCGTAGCCAAACATCAAGACAACAACTCTTCCCTCCCCCACTTATAAAATCCTCCCTTTGGGGTTAATTTGTGACTGTTCTTCAAAGAGCAGGGGGGAAGGGCGATCAAGAAATACCAATTCAAGCTGCTTTATTCACTTTTCCTGTTCACCTTTTCTTAAAATATAGAAGCCGATGTTGAACAAAACAAATTGAAATAAAACCATGATGTTATATAGAGGCCACACCCGAGTTTGAATTATTTTCTGCTGAAAAAAAAAATAAAATGTTAAAGCTGTAAAAGATCAATAGTGAAGATTAGTGTATTAGAAATTGCATGGTGGCTCATAATGATCTTACCCAACATGATTAACAATTGCGTTACTATAAGCCAAAAGAAATGAAAATAAATGTTACCCTTTTCACTGAACAAGGTAAGATGGTCTTGGTGTCCCGGTTATTTGACTGGCTGCATTCTCCTGCCCTTCCATCAACCCCCTACACATCCTTCAAGGCACTTTTAGTGTTTTGGGGTTTTTTTCCCCAAAGCCTGCAGAAGGGAGCAGATGAGTTGCTGTTGGAGGGGTTTTGGGGGTGACTCGGAGTCGGGTCTTGGTGGGTCCCTGGGGACATGGCTCAGGCTCCCTGTCCCCACGCCGGGTCTGTGTCCCCATCTTGGAGGAGACCTGGAGATGTCCCCAATGTCCCTTGCCCCGTGCACAGGGGACAGCTCTGCTGCCACCACCCACCTTGGACCTGCTCTGGCAAGGGAGGATCTTGCTGTGCCGTGTCTAACCCTGCAGCCCTGTCCCCTGCAAATTAAAGTCACTTACAAAGATGAGACAAGGCAGATCTAGCGGCCAGCGAGCCCTTGGCCGTGGTCACTGGGGCAGGTCGGGAGGCAGCAAGGACAGTGCTGGGGGACCTCCCACATCACCTCAGGCACCTCGCTGCAGGACCCCAGCGACACCTCCTTGGTCTCAGCATGATTTCTCCAGGATCAGCAATGGGGCTTCTCTCCACAAGCCCATGTGCTCCCAGTGATCGGGGTCCTGGGCTTAATGGTGCTGGAGTGCCCAAAACTGGGGTGCAGCCAGTGGGAGGTGGACCCTCCACCCACACCCCACCCTCAGCCCATTGTCCCTCCAGCTTTGGACCCTCAGGGCTGAGCTCTGGTGCTGGCTCTGCCTCCTTGGAGGGCAGGACCTCACCCAAAGTCAGTCACGTGGCTGAGGAGAGCACCTCAACATTATTTTTCCTATCAGAGTTTTGGTCCAATTTATTCAAGAAAGGTGAATTTTGTGCTCAGTGAAGGCCAGCCAGCCTAGGTCTGCAGGACACAGAGCTGTGCTGTCCCTGCCCCTCCTGGGGTCAGTTTGCTCTACAGAGACAACAAAGCTGCTGTGATTTCATATTTTTTCTTTAAACAAGCAAAATTAAAACATCATTTCCCTTTCGCTGGATCCTGTGATGTCACCAACGCGTGTGTGCACACAAGGGTGTGCGCCGCCCCGGGCTTGGCTCCTGCTCCAGTTGTACCCATCAGTAAATTGGGGATCTCGTTCCCTCCCTCACAGGGGTCTTGTGAGGCTTAACTAGTGTGTGTGCTCCCCACTTTTGCTCCTCAGTTTTATTAATTTATTTATAACTGTTTCTTTATTATTTATTTATTATTTATGATCCTGTTGGAGTGGGGCCAGAGGAGGCCCTGGAGATGCTGGGAGGGCTGGAGCCCCTCTGCTGGGAAGGGGGGCTGAGAGAGTTGGGGGGTTCAGCCTGGAGAAGAGAAGGCTCCGGGGAGACCTTGGAGCCCCTTCCAGTCCCTAAAGGGGCTCCAGGAGAGATGGGGGGGACTCTTGATGAGGGAGGGGAGCGATGGGAGGAGGGGGAAGGGTTTGACACTGAAAGAGGGGAGATGGAGCTGAGATGTGGGGAAGAACTTGTTTGGTGTGAGGGTGGTGAGAGCCTGGCCCAGGTTGGCCAGAGAAGCTGTGGCTGCCCCATCCCTGGAGGGGTTCAAGGGCAGGTTGGAGGGGGCTTGGAGCAACCTGGTGTGGTGGGAGGTGTCCCTGCCCAGGGCAGGGGGTGGCACTGGGGGGGCTTTAAGGTCCCTTCTTCCCTGCATCAACCTTCTCCCGCGAACGGCGCTCCGGTGTGATCTGCAGCCCCTCAGCAGCCTCTTCTCCTCTCGGGGACCTGCCCTCCCGCTCCAGGGACCTGCGCCAGAGGGTTCCATCCCGCCAGGAGGATTTGCAGACACCTGCCCCGAGCAGCCCCGCTCCGGGGGGGGGGGGGGGAAGCTGTTAAATCCCGGTGCAATTGTTGGTCCGGGAGGTCCGCGATATTTCGAGGTGTGAGATCAAGACGCAAAGGAGGCGAAATGCCGCCTGCTCCAGGGCTGCTGCTATTGCGCAGAAATAGCGCCAGGGGGCGGTAGAGTAAGGACAGTCACCACCGCGGGGCCTCTCCACGGTCTCTGGAGTCAGACTCAGACTCGTCCAGGTTGGGAGGGACCTTCCAGAGCGTCGAGTTCAACCATCAACCTAACGGACAAGAACAGAAAGCCCCGCACCTCTAAACCATATCTCTAAGCTCTATGTCAACCCGTCTTTTGAACACCTCCAGGGATGGTGCCTCAACCACTTTCCTGGGCAGCCCATTCCAAGCCTTAATAACCCTTTCCATGTCAGCATTTTTCCTAATATCCAACCTGAACCTCCTGTGGTGCAACAGGGCCATCTCCTCTTGTCCTGTCGCCTGTTCCTGGGGAGAAGAGACCAACCCCCCCCCAGCTACACCCTCCTTTCACAGGGAGTTGCAGAGAGCGAGGTCTCCCCTCAGCCTCCTTTTCTCCAGGCTCAACACCTGGGCTCGTGCAGCTCCTTTGGGAGTGTAAATAAGGAGAGGCTGGGAAACCACCCAGCAAATACCCATCCTGCTTCCCAGAGACTTGCAGGAAGGTTTTCCAGGAGTTTCTGCCTTGTTGAGAGCCGACTGTGGCAACAAAAGGGCTCAGAGCCACTCAGTTTCCCACATAAACCCCCTGGCTACCAGCCCAGCACCTCATGAAAACACCAAGCCCAGTTGTAGATAATGGCTGCCACATGAGCTTCTCTAACAATAGCGGCTCGTGCAGCTCCTTTGGGAGTGTAAATAAGGAGAGGCTGGGAAACCACCCAGCAAATACCCATCCTGCTTCCCAGAGACTTGCAGGAAGGTTTTCCAGGAGTTTCTGCCTTGTTGAGAGCCGACTGTGGCAACAAAAGGGCTCAGAGCCACTCAGTTTCCCACATAAACCCCCTGGCTACCAGCCCAGCACCTAACCCAAAAATGAACAAATTCTGCATGAAAACACCAAGCCCAGTTGTAGATAATGGCTGCCACATGAGCTTCTCTAACAATAGCACGTTTTCCTTGATACCCTTATTGAATCTTGCTACAGAAGATAACTCTAAAACAAGCAGACTCTAAAACTTTGCTCCACTCCTGCCCCCATGAGAAGGTGGGTTCCTGATGGGAGAGGCAGCACCGAGCTCATGGTGCTGGGTGGCTTTGGCCAGCCCCATCCCTCTAATATTGAATTTTGGCAGATGACAGGGAGTTTTTTCCCTAAGGATGCCAGATTTCGGGACTAACACCCCTGCTGCCACAACTGGAAATGTTCCTCTCCATCCTCACTGCCAAAAGATTTGGGAGCATCCCTTGGGGAGGTCCCGGCAGTGCTGGGAGGACCCACAGGGGAGCCGGGACAATCCCCTGGGTCTCCCCAGGAGTTAAATGCAGCCGAGGCAGATCACCCAGGCCAATGGGGCATCCCATCCTGTGTGTGTCCCACCATCCCATCCCATCCCATCCCATCCCATCCCATCCCATCCCGTGGCTGGGCTGGGGAGGAATGTCAGGAATGCCATGGCCGTTAGCCCCGACATCCTGCACAGGACTTGGCCTGGATTTGGGGAGAGCGTGCATGTTTCATGAGTTTTGTGGAAATGGGTCTCCGAAAGGTCAGAGTCCAGCTGCACATTCATTTTAGTAACCTGAGATGCCGGGGAGCGTCCACCTCTCCTCCCTGTGCTGGCACATCCCAGGGCCAGCCTGGGGCCAAGCCCAGCGTTTTCCCGGCTGGGGTGGCAGAGTGTGGTGGACATGGCTATTCTGGGAGGGAAAACCAGCTGGGACGCTGCCCCACAGCCCCAGCGAGGGGGTCCCTGTCCCACTGCCGTGGGGCTTTCCTCATGGATGGAGACCTTGTGCCGGGCTCGGCAACAACAGACACCGGGAGGCCCCTCTGAAAGCCGGGATGGACCCTGTGCTGGCCACGATGGTCGGCCAAGGGGAACCCCAAACCTCAGCAAAGGCATCTGTGGGGTCTGGGAGTGGGGATGCACAGAGCGTCCCTCACAGCGGGGGGAGAGGGGCCGAGCATCCCTCTGCCGGAGGAGGAGGAGGAGGAGGAGGAGGAGGAGGAAGAGGAGGAGGAGGAGGAGAAGGAGGAGGGAGCCTTCCTCCCATTTTCCCGGCCTGTGACTCCGCAGCCCATCCACCAAGTAATTTATTCATAGAGCCGTAACCTCAGGAGTCTCCATAAAAGGCTGGAGCTGCCGCATTGTTCCGGATGCTCCAGCGCCAGCACAAAGGCTCCGGCCACCTCCTTGGCCACCGGCCGGGGATGGCACCCCATCCCCTCTGCTCCGGGGGGGACGGCACCCCATCCCCTCTGCTCCGGGGGGGACGGCACCCCATCCCCTCTGCTCCGGGGGGGGAATGGCACCCCATCCCCTCTGCTCCCGGGGGGAACGGCACCCTCTGCCTCTCCCTCCCACCCCCCGGGGCTGCCCCACCAAATCCCATCATCATTTCTGCTCTGGGCCTCAGGGCTCCTCTCCAAGGGGCTTCGTGCCTCCTACCAGTAATGAGCTTAACTCCATCTCTGGGTGGGGACACAGAACTGGGGGGGACACACGATCATTAGCCCGGCCAAGGTGCTTGGGAAAACAAACAAGGAGGCAGCCAGAGGCCGGGAGCAGTTTTTCCCCTTTTTTCCATCAACAACAGCAGCAAAGGGTGAAAAATCCCTCCCTGTGGCTTGGCCAGGGATGGAGTGGGGGTGTGCGGGCAGCACCAGGGATGACTGTCCCCTCCTTGGGGGTCACAGCGGCACTGGGGGGGGGTGTCAGGGGTGACATGTGGGGCTCGGGGGCTGGCTGCTGTCATTCCAGGGCCAGCACCCATGGAATTGTGTCACCAGTGGCAGCTTGTGGGCAAGTGTTGGTGGCCGTTGACAGGAGGAGCCCGGCCATGGACACGATGTGCGGGGAACACCTGGGAATGTGGAGGTGGGGGTCACCCCTAACAAGGGAAGGTGGACACCTGGACCCTCTTTGTCACCCCTAAGGAGGGGACGGGGCACAATGGGTTCCCCCCAACACCCCTAATGAGGTGGGGGGGGAAGCTCTGCCATTCCCCTGCTAAAATGCCCCC